ATGATATGGAATTTGGTTAAAACAAAAAAAGACGAAAGTTTCTTACTTTCTTTATTTTTAACATTCATTTTTTTATAACATTTTCAAAATTTTCAAACACGCAGTTGAACAAATAATAAAATCGATTTTATTTTTTTCAAATGGTACCTCTTAATCACTATATTTTTTCATGGATTCTGGATTCTTTTTGTCTGAACATTTTGACAGTCAAATGATAAATTTTAGTTTGCTAGATTATTACTTATTAGCTATTGTCCTCAAAAGTTTAGTATAATATGCATTAATACTTTTAACTGAAATATACAAGAGCTAAATATTATTTTCTTATAACTCTAAAATAATACTTAAATAGTTAAATCAGTAATCAAAAATGCTCAGAAAAAAAAACATTATCAAAATTGTGTTAGCCAACACAGTTCATTATTTATAGTAATTTTTCGTGATATAAAATTGAGAACAATTTTATTTTATAATTATTTTTTATTAAGTAATAATAATTTACCTACTACCTATACCTACCTACTTAAATATATATATTTGTTTTAAACTGTATTGGACGGTTTAAAAAAATATATTTTGTGGATAAAGATGTGCCCACAAAATAAATGGGCCCCGGGACCGTGCCATCCTTGCCCCCACCCCTCAATATGGGCTTGGTTTTCGTGGATGAGGAGGAAATATTTATCAAGAGACTCGGCATTCACAATTAGTTCAGCCGTTTAGGAGGAGTTCAGTGACATACTTGGTATATAACTTTGATACTTTAGAGTTAAATTATAAAATTACGTATACAAACAGGTCCAATGCAGGTCTACTGATAATGTACTGCTGCGAATCAGAATTTTTATTCCCGGAAACGGAAAAGTTAAGATACATTTTGAACACCATACACCGAATATTAAATAAGGAATTGAATAAAGTTTGAGTCATATAGAGTTGATACATTTAACGGGCAACGAAGTGCTCGGGATCAGCTAGTAATTATATAAGCACGTTTTATTTATTTAAGCATTTAAAAGTTCTAATCTTGGTCAAATTCATAAAAATCCCGAAGATTTGGAAACCATTTCGTAGTTAAAAATTTATCAAATGTTCAATATGTACTATATTTGTATAGGTAGGCCTATAATGATTAAACTATTCTATAAAAGGTTTTTCATAAGTAGTTCACATTTTAAGCAAAAAGCCTTAAGATTATAATATAAACTTTATATATACTTTACATATTCTTTATAAAAATAATTTAACAAAATTATGTAAAAAAGACTAAGTACTAAGTAAGTACTCGCTGATGCCCGGGACATGACAGATTCTATATTTCAACAGTGATAAAAACAACAGTGTTATTAAAAAATATAGCCAAACGAAATTTATATTTTCTATGTACAATGTACCCATGTCTCATAATACCTACTATTTGTATATATATTGTTAAATATATATTGTCCAAAGTCTAAAAATTATATTTTATATCTATACACAGAATCGATATTACCAAGTTATTTCGTTTTGTTATTTAAATTATCGTTATATATTTAATAATGGTAGGTAATAACAATTATTATGCTATTTAAATATGTATTTTTTTTTGTCCTCTTAAATGTAAATGTAAATGTTAAATGATAATATAACATTGACATTATAACAATAATCATAATAATTATAATACTTATATCGATGTAGAAGCATGAACAGCAAGTCAGTAACAAGTTGCTAGTAGCGCATGACCTAACAAACCTAATCTCGAAAGACAAAGAGCATTCACACAAAACTCAGTACATTTAGATGTTCATTATAATCTTTTACAATACAGCAGTGCTTTTTTCTGCTCTTCTGAAACTAGGTACATATATAAAAACTACAACTATACCTCTGACGCTATTTTTAATAAAGGTAAGACATTTAAACCTTATTACGTAGGTATAAGGTGACATTTTGATCTTTTTTTTCCATATGTAGGTACATGAATCTTATTGGTTTTGTAAAACATTTAATTTTAGTTAAGATTTTTTATTTAGATATTTTAGCTGGTGGTTGGTACAATGGTACCACAATAGTATTTTAGTATTATTTAAGTAATTATTTGAATGTACATGTACTATCTCATTTCATACTGTTTTTGAACAACATTAAAATAAATAACACGGGAGCAGACATATTGTATTATAGTATAATTTTATGTATATTATATTGTATATTATTATTTTTAATATTTAAATATTGTATTATTGATTCGTATTCGATCAAAGTTCGAACGAAAATGTAGACGCGTAGTAACGTACTAACGAACTCCGGTCTTGTTCATTAATTAAACATTAATACCTAAGGTCATCACGTGTCCTCTCTTCTCTCTTTTAATTGTTGTCAGTAGCACATTTCTTTTTTTTAATTGTTAGATTTCATTTTCAATCAACCCCATAGATTGTTGAGATATTTAAATAATGGAAAATTAGAGTGAAAGTTTAGGAGATTATTTGTAACAAAATAAAATAGTTAATTTACCTTAATTTAACTATATACCTATCTACTCAAAAGTCATAACAATAGGGTTTTGGCTCGAGTCACATCATTATTGGATGTGTGACCTCATCAACGTGTTCATGATTAGGTACCTACTATTATTCATTATTGATGTAAATTACAGTATAACATTATGTAAATGTTAAAATAATTGTACAACTTTTAAGTCAGAGACCAGCAGTTAAATGATATTATGGTTCAGATGATGATTTGAAAAAAAAATGTAATTGACCAGAAAAATTGAAATACCTACCTGTAACTTATTAGTCAATAAATGTATTTATTTTGGTTTTAAAAACACAGTTTTAATATTAAATTACCAAGAATAACAATTTTAAATATTTTGTTGTAATTAAAAAATATTATTCGTGAGTACTAACTTAAAACTTCGAAATACTCTATCTAAATATTCTGCTTTTAAAGATGAAATGAAAACTGAATGTTATTGTAAATTTGTAATTTTAAAAAAAGTGGGTAAAGTTTTTTGATGAGCTTTTAGATAATTATTACCAATGGGTGACGATTTATTTATACTTAAGTTTATAAAGCAAGTTTTTGTTAAATTAAATTTTAGAAAGTTATTGTCGAACCATGTTTTGACGATACTTAATACACTAGTAGATTTATTATGAAATGTATTTTTATTTATGTCGTCTAAAATAATTGATGTGTCATCAGCAAAGCTGAAAATTTATCTATTACAGTTAATACTCAATAAGACATTATTATAATGTCTATATCAGGGATCGAAACCGGTTAAAACCGCTGTTTTTTCATATTTCAACACCGTAACCGAAACCAAAACCAAAAGCTTTAAAGCACCGGTTAATAAACCGTAACTGAAACCTAAAATCTTGAAAAAACCGTTCTTGAAACCGATTGAAATTTAAAACTAATATCGCTTTCTTCGAATTTTATAAATTTAATTACCTACGTATATTATTTATAATTCTAGACTCTAGTTAAAACGAGTATTTTTATGGGAAGAAAATATTTCGCTTGAATACCGATGATATAACTGATTATTACGAAATATTAATAGGTAATACGAATTTTATTCTATTTACATTCTTTTAATACCATTACTATACTCACTGATTCAAAATTATAATACAAATATCACAATAATTGTATATATATAATTGCGAACAAATAACAATTATTGTTAATATGCGGCTATGCACGTCTATATTCTTGTTATTTGATGTATTTGTGTATATTATTATTTATTAATGTTATTACAATTGTTTTGTATTCGACTGATCCGCATCCGTCCCTCAGTCATCAATTGCTTATGTCATTATCATCACTTTCCTCAGAATCCCCTGATTCAGAAATGTGTGTACCAAATCTAATAATGTATATTTGAAACTTAACAGTAAACCTTTTTAAATAACAATATTTTCAATTGTCCAATATTCTTTTTTTAGTATCTATTTAAATTAATATTTTGTTAAAATATCATAACCATTAATCACATAACAAGAGTTTTATTATACTGTAATATAGTGTGATGTTATTGTAAATTACAATTAAATATTAATATAATCGAATGATGATCTCAACCATAATGTTGTATGGATTATGCAAAAGTAGGTATAAAATACTTAAGTTAACAACACAAAATTAGTTCTGCTGAACTTAAATTTGCTATATTGTCTGTACCTACACTAGTAATACAAACCTAACCTTTCAGCCCTAAATAGTAAATAGATAGTAAAAATCGGGTCTGCAGTTATTCGGTAAAGAAAAAAAAATTATCAAAAACCAAAACCGAAAATTTTCAAATCGGTTCTTGATACCGATAAATTTGAAAAACCTTTTTTGAAACCGAAACCAAAACCAAAAAATTTGAAAAACCGATCTTAGAACCTAAACAAAAACCATAAAATATAGAACCCGAAACCGTGATAACCGTTAAAATTTGAAACGGTTTCGATCCCTGGTCTATATAATGTAGTATAGAAGTGCATATCTATTGTTTATATATATATATTGTTTATATATTAATATTAAGTCTGTGATTAAGAATAATAGTTGTAGTTAGGTATTGAGTTTAGTTATTCAAATTATCGAAAATTCACTTTTATACAGGCCTAGACTAACTTCTCTTCTACAATATTCATAATAGGTGTATTTACTCTCAAACTGCATAACAAACCAAATTATTGAAAATACAAAAATAAATGCTCATAGAATACATAATATTAGTAGACCTATAAAATATTCTTTAGATAGGTTAGGGTAGGTTAGTTCTTTATTATGTTGGTAATAGGTACCTATTTATATTTTTCATTATTGCATGAATTTTTCTCCAAAGTATCATTTATCTAATAATATACTTACCTACTCGACGTACGTTTGGATTTTGGTTATAGTTGTTTTGCTACCATTTTGTTTTTGGTTAAAAAATTAATAATTTAAACCATTAATATTTTCAGTTTTCGAATTTATATTTCTTTCATTTGAAATTTTTAAATATGGAGTACGAAATTGCTGATTTTAATAACGTTTTGAATGGCAGTGAGTAAGTACCCTGTCATATAAATGTATTTACTTAATTATTATACCACACCACGATTAAAGATACACCGTGTTACACACACTAATCATTGTATGTTAATTTTTAGTTGGTCAATCACAGCACGTGTACTAAAAAAATCCGATGTTCTTCCATTTAAAAATGGCAATGGAAAATATTTTTCAACAATATTAATTGACAAAACTACTGATATAAGAGCTACTGCTTTTGGAGACGATGTTGACCGTTTATTTTCACAACTTCAGGTAACTATTGAACATGTTTATATTATGTTTGCTAAATCGTTGAAAATATCGTAGACGTCAAAATATAAATAATATATTTTTCTTATGCTTAATCATGAACTACTCATTGATTTAAAGAAAGTAACATATTATCTGGCTATACAGTCTATTTCATGTAAGGTTAGACAAGGGTAGCATGTAATGCTTTTGAGCATTTTATTGTTATTTACATGCCGTTCCGGTTTTCAAAAATCAGATAATATAGAGACATTTAAAATAGTTTTGACACCCTCAATGCTAATAATTACACGTAGACGAGTTCGTCCAGCTTATGTTAATCCGCAGTCTTCATAGCATATATTTTCTTTTTAAATATAATTTAAAATGTTCAACTGATGAATGGTGATGAAATATCTTAATGTTAAATAAAGGCATTCAGTAGGTATGCCAAAATATTGTGGTTGGCATTGAACAAGTTAATTACATTATTTAATAAACTTATAACTATCTATTTGATTTTTAATGTATTGTGACTTGATGAGTGGATATTAACTTTTATCAATTCTTTAATTCTTATAGTACCTATGTGTTTATTTATTTATTATGTTTAAAAAGGTAAATCATGTTTACAATATTAAAAATGGAGAAATCAAAAGAGCAGAAAAGGCATACAACAATACAAAACATGATTATGAAATCATTTTTAATAGTTCAACAATTATAGAGAGGTGTGGAGTTACTGATATTCCCAGTCATCCACAGCTTAAAACAATTGAAAATGTTTTTTCAATGGTTCTAAACACTTTAATTGGTAATAATTCTGATATATTTAACAATACAATGTATTACTTAACTATTATACTCTCAAGACATTTTTAATTATTTTGTTTTAATCCTGAAAGATACTATTGGAATAATAATTAAGATAGAACAGTTAAAGACAATTAAAAAAAATAACTGTAATGATATATACAAATTAAGAAATATCATACTAGCAGACAGTACTGGCAGCGTAAGTACTTATTACAATTTATTTGTTAATGTTTGCTTAATGTTCCTCAAACTTAACTTATTAATATGAAATTTTATTTGAATAAATAAATATAAATATATTAAATATGACATTAAATTAGATCAATATAGATTCAGTTAAGATGTTGATTAATTTATAGTTCATAGCTCAGTTATTACTTATATAAACTTGATGATAAAAAGTATTTACTAAATAATAATTAAAGCAAATAATAAAGATAACCTTTAATTAAACAAACAAATTAATATTATTGTTAAGTAGGAATTCATTATAAAAATGTGACTTCAAAGTACTTACCTATTTTATTGTTTTATTGTTCAAACATACTAATTAACTAACAAGTAGACAATATAATATAAAATAATAATTTCCAATAAAAAATATATTTATCAACATATTTCTCTCCATAATTGTTTTAAGTACATTCTGTAATATCTCTCTGTGATAATTGATGAACCTTAAGGTGATGTCCCCCCCGCTCGTGTTGTCTTCGTCTTACAAATGTAAAACATAAAAAAACTGTTTTGTGCGGGACTACTTTGCTCGCACCATATTTTTTGAAGAACTACCAAATTTTCACAACACGTAAAGTAGAACTTTATCTGTGCAACAGAGTGCTGATATTTTAGATAGCATAAATGCAATAAAAGTTATTTGCTTCTAAACATTTTGTTTTTTTAATTTGCTTATAAAAAACGATTGGATGATGCTATTTAAAAAAAGAGCTATCTGTTGCACAGATAAAGTTCTTCTTTACGTGTTGTGAAAATTTGTCAGTTCAACAACAAATGTGATGCGAGAAAAGTTGTCCCTCGAAAAACAGTTTTTGCTATGTTGTACATTTGCAAGACGGAGACAACACATGCGGGTGGGACATCCTCTAAACTGTTGGACGGAGAGGCCAAGCAGACCAAGGCGTTGGTTTTGACGCGCACTGACGCCGGTTCGAACCCGGCCACGGGTGAAATTTTTCTTCTGTCACGGTGTCCGGAGAGAAGTGCCGCCATCTCCCACCCGAGCATGGCAGATACCTACGGGTCCCCAATAAAAACGGGCATAGCCGTTTTCGACCAAAAACGTACCCTTCCCCTTTCGGCCGATTCATTTTTCGACCAAATTTAAAAAAAGGTCCATTCCCTTTTCGACCAAAATCGTACCCTTCCCTTTTCGGCCGATTCATTTTTCGACCAAAACAAAAAGTTTTGTAATATGATATGTAAAATAAATAAAATAATTGGTATATAATTTTTGTAAAATTATGGCAATTATAATTTTAAAAATTATTTAAAGTATAAGTTGCATAAAATGTTGTAAAATACAGGTAACTTTATTTATAATGATTAACGCCAATCGGCTTTTATACAAAGTAATTGCATACAAAATAATAACAAATTTAAATAACAATATTAAAATAGTAAGACATAATAACAGTATTAAATATAGTAAGACAGCACTATATTTAACTTGACAGGTACCTACAGTATATAATTTATTAAAATAACTAGGCGTTTTTATTACTTAATAGTAAATATATCACTAAAATATTTTTAGGTATGATTTTGTTAAGTTGGTTTCAAACAATTATTTCAAACAAATGTAATTAAAAGCGCTAACAAAACTCAGACGACACAATATTACGACACAATTATATTGACCTTATATCATTTTTTTTATATAATATATCTTATATTTTTAATAATATTTGCCATTATTTATCATTATTTATATTATTATACATATTACTATTAGACTTAATAATTATTGACAAAAATTGTATATTATTATGTTATTCTTTTTATAAAATATTATGCACAGTGTGATATATTAACACAAAACTAATGTTAATAATATATAGGTATTCTTATATTTAAATTTTTTTTATTTTTTATTCTACAGCATTTTATGCAACTTATACTTTAAATAATTTTTAAAATTATAATTGCCATGATTTTACAAAAATTATATACCAATTATTTTATTTATTTTACATATCATATTACAAAACTTTTTGTTTTAGTCGAAAAGTGAATCGGCCGAAAAGGGAAGGGTACGATTTTGGTCGAAAAGGAAATGGACCTTTTATAAATTTGGTGGAAAAGTGAATCGGCCGAAAAGGGAAGGGTACGTTTTTGGTCGAAAACGGTCTCGCCCATAAAAACCCCTACAAAACCAAAAACAAACGGCTAATGGACTTAGTTGCCAGGCTTCAAGATCAATGAAAAAAAAAAAACCTTAACTGTTACAAGTTCATTAATTTTCAATTATAAACGAATGTATTTATCGTACAAGATATAAAAATGTATATATTTATTGTATTAAAATTGCTTACCGTTAAGGTTACCGTTACTCTATGGAATACAGAAGCTACTGATTGTAATGCCAGCGAAGGGGATATTATGTCAATAATAGGAGGAAAAATTATTGATTTCAAAAATGTTAAGAAAATAAGTGTGACTGGATCTTCAAAAATCGAAATTAATCCTTATTGGAATGAAACCTTAGATCTCCAAAGCTGGTACAAAGAATTTGAAAAAAAAAAACTTTTAAATCTATCTCAAGTGTCTGTCGGTTCTCAAGAACTTCATATGTTTGAAAGTATGAAATGAATTAAAAATATTAATTTGTCTTATTAGTTATTAATAATTAATTTTAATTATAGTTTCTCAAAGTAATAGAAATACAACTGAATACGAACGTATTTTGCAACAAAACAAAATTGATGAGGATTTGATTTCTAAAAGATTACTGGAGCTGAATGACGAAGAGCATAAGATAAAAACGGAAAGAGCTGATTTAAATTTTAAGAAACAGCGACTTTCAATCGAACGAGAGAGTATTAAAAGTCATTTGGAAAACTAATTTTATAATGGATACTTATATATTACATTTTAATATTATTCATATTATTCTCAATTTGTACTTTCTTCTGAATTATAATACTAATAATAATAATAATCAAAAAATTAAATAAAACATCTATTGGGTACCTATTATTGCTATACTATTGCTCAGAATCCAAAACTACAGATCTGAGTTTTAAATATTACATTATTATAGAATATAGAATATTATCGGGTTTGAATCGTTTTAACTTTTATTTTATTTACTACACCTAGTCAATAAATTACGGCAACAAACTTTTTTTATAAACAAATATATTTTTTAATTTTATATAACAATATAATATAATAATACAATACCCAGAAGTGATGTCCTGGAATGTTTTCAATATGTTTAGGATTAGTGCATCATTAGTCAATTTGTTCCGTGTATTATACAGTGTGTTTCCTTTTAAAGGTAACACTAAATAATTCTGACCAGTGACATCGGATTAATATGCGATTTTCAGGAGGGGATAGGGAATACATAAATACACATTTCTTAATGATGTTTACATTTTTAGATCTTTCCGTGTGCGCATGCGCAATGCAACTTGAATTTTTTCAAATAGCAACAGGTATTTTGAATACCAAATTCGGATAGACCAAATTGTTTAAGTCGATTTGGTTCTTTTTACCATAGCTCTAAAATCAAAATTGACTAAATGGCAATCAGTCAAAGTTTCGATTAAAATTATTGAATTTTTCACCAATCATACTAAAATTTTATGAATTATTATGAAATTTTATTTATTATTTTTGTATCCGTAGGTTTGCAGATATTATTAAATCATTTAAATTTAATTTTGAGGAATTAATTAACCTCAATTAGACGTAAATGTTGGTTCAATTACTTAGTAAGAAAAGATTAAACTAATTAACACAATTTTTTACAATTTCAATCATTTCTATTATTTATTTGGATAGATTTACGTTGTGAGGTTAATTAATTCCTCAAAATTAAATTTAAATGATTTAATAATATCTGCAAACCTACGGATACAAAAATTTTACTATTATAATAATATAGTAAATAGTAATATTACTTTATGATTATTACTTCATTTTATTTTTATTGGCAGCATTGTGCACAAAATCTTTTATTTTTTTCCAAGGCTTATTAATTTTATTTTGTTTTGCAAAATGTTCACATTCATGTTTTTTGGGAGCTTTATTTAAAAAAATGTTATTTTTAAAATGTTTAGTCATTATTTGTTTTTCATTTTCTGTCCACGGTATAATTTTAATATTTTTGTTTAACATTTGTTTTTTTACAACAGGACGTAGTTTTTCTATGTTTATTTCATTTATTAGATCGAGGTTTGGGGAGGAGTCTTTTTCCTGAAAATCATCATCTGCTTCATCTTCTTCTTCGTCAGAAACTAAATCATTAGAACTAATGTTGATCTCATCTAACGTCTTACCGCGATACTTCTGGCTGTAATGAAACGCATTGGTTGGTAATAAATTGTTTTTATTGATATAATATATTTTGAACCAATATGCTCATTATCTGAATTTGATACAATTAATATGTTTTGTATAACAATATTTTCTTTTTATATTAATTATTTCAGTTATACTCGTTGAGTGTACAATAAAAATATTTACTGGGGTTACATAAAAGGGTGGGAATGTGAACATTGAACTCACGGTTTTGTTCGGTAGGGGTGAAGTATTGGCTCTGCTCGGCGGTGGCGTACTTACACAAAGCTGCGCGTATAGAGGCCCGGTAACACTTGAAAGTGACTTACCGGCGTATACGGCTAAACGTTGACTTGACAGCGATTGGCTCTGCTCTTGATGGCGGCGTGGCTGTGGACAACTGTACTGAACTGATCCCGGACGGTGAATGACTCGGTGTAGCTTCCCGGTGATGATTGATGGTGTGTCCTCGGATGACGCGGCGACTTGGGTTGGTCGTCTCACACAGTGTATAAGTAGTACCGAGCGGCTACACACACTTTCACGGCGCACGGTCGTTCGTGGCGGAAAGGGAATGCCGGGACAGACTATACGAGTATCCGTGTATAACGAGGATCTTACTCTCGTCCGGCTTACTCAGTCTGGGGGCAACGCTGTTCGAACTTAGATGATTGGTAATTGGTGTCCGTGTATAACGAGGAGTTACTCTCGTCCGGCTCGACAATATACCGCACTCAGCGGGGAGGCTGTCGATTTGGCTGTGTTTCTGGGTGGTACTTATAGTACTCATACCCTTTAAGTCATGCGTAAAACACATAAACGGTTTTTGCAGATTAAAATGTTTTACGTTCAACTTAAAACCCAAATAAAATATGCTTTACATAGTTTATGATGTGTGGATTCCAATGGTGTATCCCAAAGGGTTTTAAGTTGACGGGTTTCGTTGTGACATGATTTTCTTAACTCGGTGGAGTGCCGGCGAAAAGGAAGTTTGTTCTTTCACGCGCTCCATTGTGCGTCGTGAACGACTGTTTCCGTGTTCCACGGTAATGACGTCTGATTACTGCGCGAAAGCGCGTCGCGGTAGTCGGTATGCGATCAGTGACTACTAGTGACGAGAGTGCGCCACGGGAACGGGGCGTTCGGTTTTGTCTCGTTACATGGCCCTAACCTTTTACCATGAGTAACAGCAGTTTGCTGACTTTTGATACCTGCAAATCAGTTTGTTTTAAATAAAATAATTGTTAAGAAATATTTTTGGTTATCAACTATTATATGAATATACAATATTGCCTTTGATTATTCAATTATGCTTCAGAATACAAATACATTAGATACATCAGAGGGTCAGAATGTATGAAATATAAATGTTAATAACTTAACCAACATTCAGCTGACAACCATACATTAATGTAGGTATAATAATATTAAAGCATGATAACTATTAAACTAAAGCAATTATTATTATTATTATTAATATAATTTAAGTTGCTGTTCATTTAACTAATATGAAAATATATTATTATTTGAAATCTGATTGAAAGAAAAGGTCCAATTCTTAAGAAAATATTTATCTTAATTTGCCCAGGCTTTATTTATTATATTTAGTTTGATATAATCCGTGCAAAATTATACTTGATTTTATGGAAATTGTACGAGCCGGGAGCGTTAATAATAAAAGACGCGAGCCCGGTTCTCAATACTTCGTGCGCGTATACAGCATACCTAATTATCACACTATTTAGACCGACCGACAATTATATGTGTGTGTGAGTGCCGTGTAAATAGCTCGATCAGCAGTGGACGGGGTTGCCGAGCAAGTACTGATGAGCTACGTGTGTTGTGAGTGTGTGAGTGTGTGAGTATGTGCGTGTGTGCGTGTATAGAATTAACCTAATACTAATGAATAATAAGACAGTTCTAGTAAATAATAAGTAGTATTGCTGTATTAATGGTAAATGATAATATATAAAATAATTATGTACAGCAACACAACAATATAATAATAGATATATGTATAAAAAATAATACTTATATAACTAACAAACTGTCCTGTTGCTCGTAAGAATATACAAAAAAAAGGTAATAATGAAAATGTATAATGTTATGTGAGTAACCAATACATTACATATTTACATATTATTATATAAATAATATTCACAATAAGGACCAATACTAATAATATTTTAAGGACTCACAGTTCGACGGTGCACTCTGCTGGCCAGCTCATACCTGCGTCTAAATAATAATATTTAACAATGTGATTTTCATACACACATACACACACAATAATGCCAAAAGGCTTACACTAATCAATAAAACGGCAATTTGTGCCTGCGAATTAACACAATAAATATAATAATAATACAAAACGGCAATTTGTGCCTGCGAATTAACACAATAAATATAATAATAATACAAAACGGCAATTTGTGCCTGCGAATTAACACAATAAATATAATAATAATACAAAACGGCAATTTGTGCCTGCGAATTAACACAATAAATATAATACTAATAAAACGGCAATTTGTGCCATACAACTTTGCGACGCATCTGTGTGCTATGAGAACAAGAACCAACACTGGACTGACAAAGAATAACTCACTACCTATAGACTAAAACACGTAGCATGAGACGGCGGTCGATGAGTACAAAATTAACATATTATATAATTCACAATTTCAACGATAATAATTGCCTATGATAAAATGTGCGTGATCGTAAGAGTGTGTGTGTGTCGGCCGGTGAAGCCCGTGAATGCGGTCTACCTTTGATCTCAGATAGCGGGAGTATCGGTGCTGGCGCAAACAGAAATTTTATTTGATAACATAATGTTCAATTTGATAATTAAATAGTATTAAATCAATATGAATAAGTTATTAACCTAATTTTCTGTTGAACAAATTACAAAATTATTTCATTAAATTAACAAAAAATGTTTATAAATATTAAAATAGGTAGATGTAAAATATTTACCTGAAACGCATTATCGGTCAGTCTATAAAAATGATTGTGTATGTCTTTCGTATGGCATACATAAATATATATCATATAATCATATATAAATGTTGCAAGTTGTTCAATATCGCCATCAGATAAATTGAGCAATTGTGAAACAGTGGCAACGTGTTTTCTTAACAGGTTGAGCGCCATGTGCGTTTTTAAAGTTTCTTCCAATGTTGCTATGAGACCCATTTTTGGTTCTCGCTGAAATTTTTTATATTGCCATGAGAACCATATTTGGGTCTCACTAATACTGTGTTTTTATTAATTGATACCCAGAATTGGTTCTCATTTATCGGTTTCTTATCATTAAATTCGTTATCTACAGTTTGGGCACTATATTTTGATAAGAATAGCGAAAACCTAAGATCATTATTACAATTTTATTTTTTTAATAACCTAACCTAAAAAATGAAAAATATATTTACATTTTTTATATCATGGCAATAAAAACAAATATTGTAAAATCATTGTTGGCAATCATAAAAATATAGTTGAGAACCAAAAATGGGTCTCATGGCGCCAAACCTGTTAAACGAGTTGAAGTAA